ATAATAGCTAACAAAAGGTACCAGGTTTAAAATTTAATACGCAAGACGCGCGTTTCGTCCACACAAGACTAACCAGTGACTCTCAGATCAAAAAAGTACAAAGTTGATGAGCATTGAGGACCAAAAGTTCCAAAAAGTTGTGCCAAAAACAGCTAAGGTTATATGTCTGGGATAAGAAAATCCTTAGTATTTAGAATAATTCATACTTTTGCAAACAGTAAATTTATAAAAATGACTATATAATAGATATACATAATAACACCGAAGTGGTGACTAACCACAGAATAAAAACGGAAACATAAACCTATGAAATTTGTTTCAATGAAATACAATAATTTCCTATTTAATTAAAAATCAATAAGTTTACATGGAGAAAAAATCCAGTAATTTCACTCCATTGATGTCATACAATAACAAGCAATGATTGTAACAGGATGCTGTTACGAAGTCTCCCAAACGAAGCTCCCATAATTCGTAATTCCCAGGGTTGCCTGACATTGGGCAAAGTCCAGTGAAAATTGGTTTGGTCCAGTAAAGTTATATGCATAAGTGATGCCTGGGGACTAACCCTGTATATCATTCAAATCATCTTAGCATGACAAACCTGAATATATATGGTTTAGGGGTGGGGATCTCGACCATTTACAAGATATTAGAACTTTCTCAAACGGCAGGGGGTCGGGATGACCCCTGGGGACTAACCCTGTATATCATTCAAACCATCTAAGCATGACAAACCAGAATATATATGGTTTAGGGGTGGGGATCTCAACCATTTACAAGATACTAAAACATTGGGGGTGGGGGAAACCCCTGGGGACTGACCCTATACGTCATTCAAATGTTCGAGACATGACGAACAGGAATATATATGGTTTAGGGGTGGGGATCTCGACCATTTACAAGATATTAGAACTTTCTCAAACGGCAGGGGGTCGGGATGACCCCTGGGGACTAACCCTGTATATCATTCAAACCATCTAAGCATGACAAACCAGAATATATATGGTTTAGGGGTGGGGATCTCGACCATTTACAAGATACTAGAACATTGGGGGTGGGATGAACCCCTGGGGACTTACCCTATACGTCATTCAAATGTTCCAGACATGACGAACAGAAATATATATGGTTTAGGGGTGGGGATCTCAACGATTTACAAGATATTAGAACTTTCTCAAATGGCAGGGGGTTCGGGATGACCCCTGGGGACTAACCCTGTATATCATTCAAACCATCTTCGCATGACAAACCAGAATATATATGGGTTAGGGGTGGGGATCTTGACCACTTACAAGATATTAGAACTTTCTTAAATGGCAGGGGATGGGGGTGACCCCTGGGGACTAATCCTGTATTTCATTTTTGGCTTTATCATGACAAACCAGAATATATATGGTTTAGGGGTGGGGATCTCGACCATTTACAAGATATTAGACCTTTTTCAAATGGCAGGGGGTCGGGATGACCCCTGGGGACTTACCCTGTATATCATTCAAACCATCTTAGCATGACAAACCAGATTATATATGGTTTAGGGGTGGGGATCTTGACCACTTACAAGGTATTAGAACTTTCTTAAATGGCAGGGGGTGGGGTGACCCCTGGGGACTAACCCTGTATTTCATTTAATGTGCTTTATCATTTAGAACATTTTCAATTAAAAAGATTGTGTCTATCACAAACGGTTTTCAATTTATAATCATTTGAAAATTTAAAAAAAATAAAATCCCATAGGGTTCAATAGTAAAACCCTCCTTTCTTTTTGCCCCTCAAAGTACCCCTTTATAAACCCTTTTGTACAAACAAAACCCTGATTGCACCACTAGACATGTTAGTCTAACATATTGTGAAACCCTAAGTTAATCTGACAAGCGGTTTTGGAGAACGGGTGCGGACAAGTTCAAATTTAAAAGCGGCGGAAGAGGAAGAGGAAGAAGAATAATAATAATAATAAGAACTGAGCAAAACCAATAAGTCTTCCCAAACTTCGTTTGGGAGACTTAATTAGTGTTGTCAATGATGTTGACATCAAAAGAATGATTAGAAAAAGACATATAGCTTGCTGTTCAGTGTAAGCCAAGGCTACGTGTTGAAGACCGTATTTTCACCTATAATGGTTTACTTTTATAAATTGTGACTTGGATGGGGAGTTGTCTCATTGGCACTCATACCACATCTTCTTATATCTATATAGTTCTTTGCCTTACCACGAACCCTCGATCCATTTGAAAAAAATAACTTTAAGAAAAACAAATATCATCGAACACATCCATCTAGATAACCTTATTTGGTACGAGCACCAATTATTGAGGGGTTAAACTAATTTTTGCACACATCCTCTTCTGTATAAAATCTATATCATAGGTAAAAAAAATTAAACAAATGAACACCTGCACAGTGCAGCTACAAACCATATGACCACTAACTTAAACAAAGAAATAAAAAGATATATTACATATCATTTACCCCAAAGCAGGGTCAAATAACAAAAAAAAGTAAAAATTGTCATTTCATGGCAATAATTCCTATAACGTATGGTCAAATGAAGATTTCAGTCATTTTTGTAGATCTGATATTGCTGATGAAATGTGTCTTCTATAGTAACTGTCTATCTATTATAGTTTTCAATACATTAGGGAAAAATAGAAAGGTCGTAAACTCATACAAGATTCTTATAATCTTTTTAAGAAATATTGCCATTTTTGTAGATTTTTCTACTGCTGAATACCGTTCTGGTAATAGTTACTATATTTTTTATACTAGTTTTTAAATTAAAAAATGAGGCTCAAAATGTAGACATTTAGGAATTTCCCTAAAATATTGTAAACAAATTTGATATCTCTAAAATTTTAAAGACAGTCTGTTGCAGTAAAATAGTCAGATAGGGATAATGAGGTACATAAGCTAAAAACAAAATCAGTGTTTTCATTTCAAACAAAAATTTATTAGAACTTTGCATTAAATGCCCAACTAAGTCAAATGGGCCGACCTTGATTGAGCTGTTTTGTCATTTTTTTAATATTTTGTATAGGTATTAGAAACTGTATGAAATGTATGTGTTGAAATTAAAACAACATGTTATAAATTTCATGCGTACGAAGCGCTTTTCTGAATTTACCTTCATCAGGAATGCTCAAAGTCGAATATTTGAAAGCCAAGGATGTAAAAGAACTGAAACAATTGATGAGCCATTTAGCAATAATAATTAAAACCATTGCCTTTGCCTGAGGGAGTGAAATCTTAGTTTCTGAATAATTTCTAAAAACATTTACTAACAATTTTAGAAAGATTGCTACCAGCTCATTTAAAAGAAAGCATAACATATTGTACTTGTTAAAGTGTTTTCCCAATTGTTACTCTAACTTTTACGACAAAATCAGGAAATTCCAATTCAATATACAAAAAAATGTCACGCATTATCATACAAAATTCCAAATAATGCAAAAAATAATAAACAAATATTACATTTTTTCTCTAAACAAGACTACCCGTGATCCCGTGTTGTTTTGTGCAAAATACAAAAAAAATGTACATATACACAGCTGATTATGGATGAAATCCACAATTTTTTGTAATGTCTCTAAGTAGTTTTAATCTGGTAAAATATTATTTATCCGCTATGGTCAAAATGTACAAGTAACGATGATTTTAAAAACACTGATTGTTTTTATTACCAAACAGTGACTTAATTGACATAATACTTGGTCTTCTATGTAAATATTTACAGTATACAATTTACGTTCGTTTTCTAACTGAGAACAGCTAAAAAATAATTATAACTCATTAACTATATAGTCAGAGTTACATAAAGTACATTTCCTTTCTCTTCCCCAATGTTTAATCAAATTAATTTTTCTCTAAGCAAAGCATGGTAACCTGCATGCTCTGTGTTAACTTAAAATGTCGGGATTTTTTTTTTCTTCGCGAAAATCAAGTAAACTGAATCAGAAAAAATCACACTATCTCATGTCGATTCCCTAAAAACTCCAATTCTTTTGCTTTCAAAAGTTACTGAATTATGCCATTAAATGATGTAAATTTTTAAAAGTTGTCATTCATCTCTCATTGGGTTTCCATTTTGCTTTTTCTATGTAGTTTCATATTTATAAAAAAGGTTAAGTATAAGTAAGTGATATACTTGCGTTAGAATATGAATAGTGAGCAGTTTATTTCACAAACCTTTTTACTGTAAAATCGTGCAATATTTTTATTATTTTATTTGGTTAATTGTGTAGTAAATTACAGTCTCATTTGCGTTTATCCAACATCGAGTTATTTCATTCATTTTTTCTGATATGATCTCATTACAAACACATAATGATGTAACTTAACAGAAAGAAAAGGTACACGGTGATTAATAACTCCAAAACTCAGATTCAATATTTTGCCATGAAAACTGTTAAGAGTCTTTGTTATCAAATTCAAAAACTACCTCATTAGAACTTATGCAATAAATTCTGGACATGTATATAAGCTAGAATTGCCATGAGATAATGAAGTACACAATTTCTATTATGATCAGTCCATTCAACTTTCAATTATTTATAGTACGCGTATTCTATTTTCACAGGTGTGCTTAGGCGGGGTATGAACATTTATGTGAGATCGAAGGTTTAAATTGACCAATGACAACGATCTTTCCTAACGAGTTGATCTAATAAAGTTTGTTTGACTGATTATAACGCATAGCTTTACTCTAAGCTTGGTCGCAGTTAAGTATAAATACGGGTAAGTTGTATTCTTAAGCATTTTTAATGTTTACTTGTTTTACTTAAGTGTGATAAATTTTGTAACTGCAAATCATGTATTCGTAATGCTGGTAAATGTTTATTGTTAGTGCAATCATCTTAGGCGCCAACTAAACAAGTTTATGATTACAGCCAAATATAAAAATTAAGGATATTGTCTTAGATAATTATGTTAACATTTTGTAACAATATCATGATAACAATGTTTCTGAATTTTTTTTTCAAATTGGGTTATCAAATGTAACTTACTTATTGGTAATCCCGGTGTTCCCCTCTTTTACATTCTGACAGGTAGTTTCATTCTTTAGGTCTTTCAGAACTACCTTGGAATCCATCTTAATAATTGTTACATCAAGAAGCCCAGAGATTATATCGCCAATATTATCCCTCGTTTCTATCACTATATCCGTCTCCTTCATAGCCTGTGCTTTCAACATAGCCCTAGTTGCATCCCAATCGCCAGACACAATGTCTTCTATTTGTTTCATTACAAGAAACATTTGTGTATCAGTGCCGCACAATTTCAGCTGAGTTAGATTATTTCGATATTCTGCTATCACTTTTCTTTTTTTATCAAGTTCTGATAAAACTGTTTCTATTTCAATTTTCTGATTCTGGAGAGATGTTTCAAATTTTGATTGAAGTTCAATTTCAAGAGCATTCAAAATTTCATCAATTTCTTTCCTGATTTTGCCCAACTTTGACTTTCCATCAGATTTACTTTCCAGTTGCTGCAAATTATTTCTGCGATTTTCTATCAAATCTTCGATGTTTACCAAAGCAATGTCAATATTCTTATCAAGTTCGTCCAATTTGTCTGATTTCTTTATATCACGTACAAATGTGTGGAAAAGGGTTATTCCCAAACAGTTAGGGTGATTCATGGCAGCACATTCGGAACAGCAAGGTGTTTCATGACTTGGGCAATATAACTGAAACGGACTATCATGGATATGGCATTCTGTCTGCAGTGTTGAAATAAAAGTCTGTACTGTTTCAGATGACTCAACAGGGACAACAGAATGATTTCTAGATACTTTAATTGCCTTCTGGTTCTCATAACATTCATCACAAAGACCCTCTTCACATGACATACACCAATATTGTGGGGGCCTATCCCTATCCCTTACCTGACAAGGGCCACATTTTAGGTATGTTAATCCAGATATATCTAAAAGTATATGATACAAGTTGAGTTGTTTATGAAATTAAAACAGGATCATAAAAATTGCTTAGTACATATATAACGTACATGTGCATAGCCTCTTTACATGAAAACCATTTATTTATTTATGAAAAAAAAATTTAAAATTCGTGAAAGATCCCACTGAACCCACTGTAAAGTCTGTGATTTCTACTACAATTTCAACAATAGGTTAAAATGTCAATTTTAAAAGAAACATACGTTACCGCTACGTGTAAATTCTAATGAACCATACAACCCTGATTAATTTTAACAGGTAACATAATTAGATTAAACATCAACCTATGTTTTATGATCCCAATAAAAGGCCAACATCTCAAGATTTAATACCCCAATAAATGGTCACCATATGATGTTGACCATACCGGAGGTTGGACATAGTTAAGAGAATTTCACAGGTTGTACTATACATCAACTATTAGAGGGAAACAATGGAACAACAGATTTACGTCATAAGCAAACGCTAACATACAAAAAAAACGTTCTGTCTGAAATCAACTGCCATATTTCTTACTTGGTACATGACATTTTAAGAAAAAAAGATGGGTTAAACCTGGTTTAATGGCTAGTCAAACCTCCCGCTTATATGGCGATGTTAAAAATACCGCTAAAATGACAACACCGCGTGACAAGAATACAGTACAAATAAACGCAAGAACACTCAGCACCGAGAAATACATAAAAAATACTATAATAGTACATTACAGCATGTAAATTGCAGAATAACAACGGACACCACCAATGAATTTACGGCAGCACACCATGACACCACAATCAAAATATAAACTGCGCGTCACTTCATTGGATCAATCTCATAAAAACGTATTTGTGACGTTTGTATTCCGCACAGGTAAAGTTTAAAAAAATAAGTGGGCCACACTATTCAACTTTGAGAATCTAGGTCATAATTGTGAGATTGAACATCGTCTTTAATATATGTGAATACACAGGTAATAAATATTTGACACAAAACTAGAAAGTTAAAAGCTAATAAAATACCAATCATTGATTGAAAGATCATTTCAACCATGTGAGGTATACCTTTACATCTTTCTCTTAGGTAAACAACAAATTGAAAGTAAATTCGGTTGCTATTTTTAACTTTTTATTTTTATCACAACCATGACAACCACGTACACAAATATTTTTTTTTTCGGCCGAAGGAGTCACAGTCTGGTTTCTGTATAAAATAGATCATTTTATTCCGTGCAATTTATCCCCAACCTGATGTTATTATGTACTTTATTTTGTATATATACGACACCTTAATGCATTTTACCTTTATTTTCTGTTTTAGCACTGAGTGCATGTCATCCATATTGTTCCCTGATCAGAAAAAAAAACACTTAATTCTGAATACCACCTCAAGTTTCGTTAAATAGGTCGGGAAGTTTCAATTTCTTTATAAATGTATTAATGTATTAACTGGACAGAGTTTAAAACTAAAAAATAACACCATGTAAAAGAGATATATACCGATGTGTCTACATGTGTACATAGCGCTTCACTACCACTGACTGTCTACTCTACAAATTTGAAACTTAGTATGTATAACCTGAAAATACTATTACACATGTGTAATGGTCGTCTAAGGTCAAACTATATTTATATAACACTCTTACTTTGTACTTCCGATGCACATGCCATTGTATGGAAAGTTCAACTGTGTCTATATCAGTTGTGTACAAAATAAATATAAATTGCTAAACGAAATATGAACAAAACGAAACAAACATAAAACAAACCGAAACGAATCGAATGAAACTTAACAAAAACTAACAAATTCAACGAAAAGAAAAGAAATAAAATCAAATTGTTAAATATCGGGCAAAAAGAAATCAAAAACATAAGGAGATAATTGTATGATAACAAATATATAAGCTAAGCTAAACAAATTTAAGAGAAATCCTGATCGTTTGTGGAACTGGAACCCCTTGACAAGCAATTTTTTGTTTGGTTTCCAGGCAAATTTCAAAATATGGCCTGGCTGATACAAGGTGGTACTATCATTTAGTGGTAATATCGTTAATCGTTTAGCTTTAGTTGAAGTTAACATCGATGAGGTTAAAATTGGCGAAATATTTTAATCTATAACATGAACAGTGTATAATCCAGACTGAGCAGAGTTTACTAACTACCGAAGCTTTGTCTGGCTTTTGAATTTATGATATCATGGTATAAATTAAAATAAATACCTGTTTGGACAACGATTTAATAACAGATGTGCATGGAATATTGCAATGAATATGTATCACTATTTAGAGCTCACCGGTCAATCATTTGTCAATCGCAAAGCACAAAGTTATCATATATATATATATATATATATAATGAACTTTAGTAAAGCCTTTATCAACTGATTTTTATAGTTAGTTCTTATGTTGAACTGTTACACCACTGTCCCATATAGGGGGAGGGTTGGGATCCCGCTAACATGTTTAACCCCGCCACATTCTGTATGGATGTGCCTGTCCCAAGTCAGGAGCCTGTAATTCAGTGGTTGTCGTTTGTTTATGTGTTACATATTTGTTTTTCGTTCACTTTTTGTACATAATTTAGGCCGTTAGTTTTCTCGTTTGAATTGTTTTACATTGTCATTTCAGGGCCTTTTATAGCTGACTATGCGGTATGGGCTTTGCTCATTGTTGAAGGCCGTACGGTGACCTATAGTTGTTAATTTCTGTGTCATTTGGTTTCTTGTGGAGAGTTGTCTCATTTGCAATCATACCACATCTTCTTTTTTATATTTATGATGACTGATATGTGGACATATCTGGTTAGAAAATGTTTATATGGACATCTTTTGTTTAAAACTTTCGCGGTTGATAACAATAATGAAATGCTGAATTGTCCAGTATAAACCTGCCCCGACCTGTATACTTAAGATATAGCATTCTTAACACCAGTGAAGTGATCATGTATCCATCATAAGTGAAACATATCGATATCATTACATTATACCAATGAGATTATAATCATAGAAGTAGGTCATCGGTTACTTATTATACATCTATATTAATTATCATGATATTTTCTGACTCTCTGCATACATGGTCAAAATGGCCATCCTGTTTCAATCGACATTTTCCATCAAAGCTCTTGGAAATGTTTTGTCAAAAACCAACGAGATTGACTGTACATGAGTCGTGTGACCAGAACATGTGCTCAAAACTTCCCACTGTCATTGTTTTATGTTATCTTCCTTCTTTAAAATTATATCCGTCATCCCGAGGTCTTCCTACTAACTTGATGTGGCTGTCCGCTGCCCCTGATTCATATTGTTCTCCCTCTAGAAGAATGTATCCGTCATCGAAAGCAGTCCGGTTTCAGCCGCTCTCCGAAATAATCTACGTGTACATCATAATAGCCTTCTTCCAGTTTCTTCGTTTATCTGATATTTATTTTCGTAATGTTTATAAATGCTGTTAACAGGATTATTATTGATAGTTATCCTGTATTCCTGGCTAATAATTTAATTCGCCAGACGCGCGTTTCGTTTACATAAGACTCATCAGTGACGCTCGTATCAAAAAAGTTAAAAAGCCAAAGTATAAAGTTGAAGAGCATAAAGGACCCGAAATTCCAAAAAGTTGTGCTAAGGTCCTCTATGCCTGATTATCTTACCAATTGCGCTGATTATGATAATGAATGATAATTTAACACTTATATTTAAAATAACTGTTAACATGAAGTGACAAGAACGTGGTCACAATATAAAGTGACCAGGATGTTTTACTGTTTTTAAAGCGATAGGGTACAAATTCTTTCTAATAAAAATATGTATAAGAAACTGACCAGGACAAATAGCTGCGATCAAGATGGGAAAGGTAATAAATTTCGGTACGCTTTACACTCATTGATTATAACTTGACCAGAATTTGTATAACCCTAATATCAATACATTAAGGAATGGACAGGCACACAATTAACATGTTCAAACAACGAATGTAAATGTCCTGGTATTCGTCCGTTGTTAACATTACCCAATTATCACATTATGCGTTTTAATAAAGCATTGTGTCAAGGTAATCCATGCATATATGCATGAACAGGATTACGAGTGTATGGTAGGGACCTTGTCATGGCTTGTTACAAGGTTGACAAGGATTGTCTCTATATGTAGACATGTCGTTGGGGCCTGACAAAGGCTTGTGACAAGGGTTTACGACCAAGTATAAAATCCATCCCTTGCATTCGTTGATTCATGTGATATGGGTATGAATACTTCTTAATTTAGTGTTTGATCCGAATCCAGTTGTTCTTGAATTGGGATTGGACCTGCGGTACCTTTCTCCTAGCTTGACCAAAAGTGTCATATTGGTGATTCGTTTTACCATTACCATTAGTCGTCTTGTTATGCGTGATCATTGTTCGTTTTATCGTGCTTTGTCCGTTCTTGTATCGGGTTTTGTGGAATCACGATAGGTTAGTATTGGGCACCATCATTTTCCTGTCTTTGGTCCAATGACCGGTCGTCCAAGGTAAGCTGCGTGTCTGCTTCACGTGACTAAAAATTAGAGTTGCTTGCATCATGTGATCAAGATCTTTGATATACTTCAGCCATCTGATGTGGGAATGTGTGTCTTCTGGTTTGTCGGTGATCACCTCCTCATTCCCCGTATTGATTGACATTGACCTAAACCTTTGAGATATCAGTTTCAATCAATTTAGAAACCTGAAAATTAAATAGAATGATAAAAACATGATTACGACAAGCGTAGTTCTATGTAGATTTAACATCTGAAATAAAATAATCACTGTTACAAAGATATGTAAACATGAAAGAAAGGAGTGTTAACATAATTTGTTACCAAAAAGTTCGGAACTGTGGCACCTTCTTTTGCAATTTCTCGTTCTGCTTGCATGTTCGCCTGTTATTCTAGATTTGGGTTAACAAGCATATGTATATCATTACATTATACATGATATACCAATGTTCCTTGTAGTGTGTAATAAATTGCAAACTCTTCCTTTTATTGTCGATTATTTGGTTCGCAAAGGACAGAGTTTCTGAGATAAAAAGTAGATTGACTTCTCATCGTTATCGGTTTGCTGAGTCAAGTAAGCACTCCAATACAGGTATTACTGGCATCTGTACCAGACGCGATATTTGTTGGTATTTGGATAGCGAGGAGTTGTAGAACAGTAAGATTATCTCTCAAGAAATCAAAAGTCTTCTGACATTCAACTGTCCACTTAATTATAGCATACTTATCTTAACAATATAAGTGGATATGTTATTTTTTTTTAATTTGGGTTAAAACGTAGATAGTGAGAACACATGCCAACAAAACCTCCAATTTCCGTTATATTTTTTTATTCTCAATTTTTTTGCCTGTAAAAAAACAAAGTATTTAGCCTCTTCTTGAAAATTCTTCAATTTCAATCTTATATGACGCTCTTTCAATTTGTTGAAGCCCACCTGAAGGTGCTTAAGATGTTCTTTGGGAGTCTTAGAGAATACAAGAATTTGTTCCAAGTAAGCAATTGCAAATTTCAAACCTGCAAAATAATGTTTCTTAGTTTTTGCGAAGGCATGACATTAAATTGAAAAAGACCTTTTGACAAGCAAATGCAATGTTTTCCTTACTGTCTTTGTTTATTTGACCTGCCAGTAACCACGTTTAACATCTAAAGAAATAAAGTAAGACGATTAGCAGGGCCAGTATGTCATTCATAAAAGGTAAAGAAAATAAAATGTATATACAGATTCTTTTTATCCATTCTTTGTATTAACCACTACTAAAGGGAATTAAAAACCAATTGTTCAAAGAACAATTGAAGGTCTTTCCACATCAATTTTCTAAATAATTGAAAGGAAGCTACTTCTGGTTTACTCAAAGTTATTAATAGCGTCAAAGTATAGATTTCTTCATACTGATTCAATAAATAAATGGTTTCTATATACTTTTGCCTGAAATAAGGGAGATAATTGCCAACTTCCAGTTTAGAAAATGTCACTTCCGGTCTCATATGATAGCTTTATTCACACTGATTCCAAAAATATATAGTTTGTTTATACTTATGCCTGTAATAAGGAAGATAATATGCTACTTCCGGTTTATAAAATGTCACTTCCGGTCTCAAATGATAGGTTAACCTATGATCATTCAAAAAATATATGGTTTCTAGGTACTTTTCCATGAAATAAGTGCAAAAAATACTTCTTCGGTTCACTCAAGGTCACTTCCGGTTTACTTTTTTCAAGGTCATATGTCAACCAACAGTTTGCAAAAGACCCTATGGCTTTATCATGTACCAATTTGGAGTAATAATCAATTAACCTCAAATTGAATCATTTCAGGGACAATAACTCCTAGAAGATATCATTGGATTGTTTTAGACCAAATGTATCATATCTTAATCACAATTAAGCAAACAGTTTGCACTAGTATTTTAATTTGTAATTTTAAAAGTGACAGAGGAGATCAAATAACAAGGAAAAGTCAAAATTTAGAATAAGACCTTGACCTTTGACCTTGGCCTCAATTTCATTTAAATGAACCAAGGAACTCAAATCAATATACCTTAGGTCTCTATCCCTTACCATTCATGCTATACATTTATATATCCCTTATGTCAAATACAGAAGGGGAAATAACTCTCATATGGAGTTTACGTATCGCTTCGGTCAAAATTGGACAAAACATCCTGAGGATATTACGAGCAAATAAATTTGTTGCTTTCTTTCACGGTTATGG